GTTTTGAATCGCACAAAAGGGTCCGAAATTTGGATTACGCGTCGGCCAAGGTACAGAACCCGTATGTCTAATCCAGCATTCAAGAAACCGTTCGTTCACAAACTCACCCACAGATCAATGCAATAATGCTATTCCGCACTAACAATGACACTGAGACAGACTTATTGTCGATAACTTCGATTGGCTGCATACATACAAGCCTACAACGTTAAAATAACAAAAAACTACTTTAGGCTGGCTGTATCATAAACATCGTCAATGATGAGTACTGAAATACAACACGCATGCTTTAGGTGTTTTATTCCCACTAGTCATTAATGCTGTTGGGCGGACAGTCCCTCCGGACTACGCCGGAAGGTAAGGCGGAAGGCTCTCTTCAGCCTCCTTTCAGAAATTGTGGGAATGGGTGCATGGTGGTTCGGGTGAGAAAGTTGAGACGGACGAAATGAAGACAGAAGAGAATGAAAGATTATCTGTGGAATATTACTGCCCCATCATTTGCATAAGTGATCCAAGGAAACCACAGAAAAACTAGGACCGAATGCTAAGCAATGGACTAAACTTCTAGGCCATTCCGCTCGGTTCATTGTCTGTACTTTGAAATAAGTTTTTCTCGAAAACGGCCAAGTATCGGGCCAAGATACATTTCCTTAATGTTCTTGTTTCATAGTGCCCTATTGTCTCCTGCAAGCTTGCTATTTATTTCAGAAACAGTATAGGCGACCTACAATCATCCCACGATTTAATAGTTTTATATATACACGGAATAGTCGTCATAGACAGCACACTCATATTTCTTTTATGTTGAATGAACAATGTTTTTAAAATAAATTTTAGAAATTTATTTGGAAATGAAAAGTATTTTGTAGGAAATGTGAGATCACTGTATTGTAATTAGTTTATTAGTACATACTTATGATTAAAAGACTTATATCGGTTTTATCGTAAGTCGACTCGTTTTTCAACTTCATGCAAATTAATAGATTAAAGGATTAGTTTAAGTAGTTAGTTTAATATCTTAAATTAATACAATGGTTCATTTTTCACCATCATTAGAAAGCACGTAACCTCGGTACCATAAAGCCTGTGTACCTAAACGGATCATCACTTACCAAACCAAACCTTGGGCTCCTCCACCTTTTGGTTCGAGGTTCTGATACCGTTCCGGTACGTTAAACTCGGTATCATCAAAGACCCATTTTTTAAAACCTGCTCTTATTAGATCTTCCGCCATTTTGCAAATAGTGCAAAAACAGGAAGGAACAAAACCAAACAAACGAATACAACGGCTACAAACTCTTGCAAAAATGACTAAAGCAGCGCAAATTAACTAAAATAGAAAAAAAAAACAAAATCAAAAGTAAAAAAAAGCAATTCATGAATTCATAAAAGACAAAAGTAGAAGCTACTTGTATATCAACACTAGACATAAAACAAAATGAAACCAATAACATGAAGTTGTCACAGCCATCTAACGTGAATGACCATTTCATAAACAATCTAACGTACCTATACATCATTGATCTTCTTATGAAATACCTCAAATCCTTTTGGCAATTGGCAAAATGACCATGAGAATAACAATAAAAAGAGATATTTATAAATTTATTTAACCGACATGCTTATGATACTACTGTTCGTTTCAAGAAGTTGGAGATATGCCCCTTCCATTTATTAGGATACGCCGTAGCATATTTCCAAATTCAATCGTATTTGTCTGCGGAGGAAATGACCGATCATCGAGCGAGAACTAGACAAAAGTGTACAGTACCATTTGCAAAATTATTTAAACTGCCTCGTTAAATTTTAAGAATATGCTTTATTTAAAAGCATATTTAGCCAAAAATAATAACAAGTGAATTAACTTAACGTTCTACACACCTATAAAACTTTTGCTTTGTTTTCTATTGTTAATTTATATACATTTTTGTTTTAAGAAATTGCTAAACATTTTCGTCTAGTACTGTACATTTCTAGTCGATCTCCTAAGACCGCCAAACGAGACCTCTGCTCGTTCAAGCTTGTTCCAACTATTTCTGTCTTGCTCACGCCTAGTGTGTATTCTTTCTATCTTCGGGCAATTTCTTCAAGGTCACAATTCTAGCAAATTGAAATAGACTGTACATACATATGTATTTATTTAAAGAATGCGTTTGAGTACATTTGACAATTCACAATTGACGTTGCGCGCGCAACACTTGAACCGTCTCATGCCGTAGTTTTACTCTCTGCAAGCTTAAAGAAATATAACTTCAAAAATAAATTCGTCGTTTTTTTAAAAATATGAAGGCACAAAATGGTGTAGGTATATACTTAGCAGCAAACTTAAATTTTAAAAAATAGGACGTCCAAAAACTAGAAACAACAATGTTTAGAAGTCTAGATCTGGTGCAACATCAGCATCTGGCTCATTAGAGTTCTATGGTCAAAGTATACTAATATAAATCTAACAAGTACTTAACAGTGTAGGTACTAGAATGGGTGGATCGGTACAAAATGTATGCTATTGAGCCTTTTTACCCGCAAAGTTAGTAGTAACTATCTTTAATTAATAAAAATAAATTATTGTAATACAACTAATATAATTAATAAACAATTGTGACAAAATAGCAATACTGTTTGTATTATTTTCATTTTCAATTCACTAATTGTAAAAGATATTTGAAGCATTATATGAGAAGACGACCAATGAAGTTAACCTTTTAACATAACATGGTTCCTGTTCGTCAAGAGGCAGAAATGTTCTAAAATACTTAGCATTATGGTGTAACATTTGGTCATTCCAGTGTCTCATGGTGTTTCATGAAATGATACGGTCAATTACAATAGAAGGCTGCGACAAAATGAAACGACAGTTGTAACTAATTGAAAAGACTTCCAAGTTTACAAACGTTTACACAGAAGGATATCCCAGGGTCGATGAGAATGAAGTTTTATAATCAATGTTTACGATATTTTTTATGAAATAAAACGCATATGTTGATAACTGATTAACTAAAATGAACTTTCTTTCGACTTCTATAAGGAAGCGAAAAATTAAATCAACATTGTCAACAAAATGCTCATAACGTACCGTTTTTGGCACCTTTTCGTAAACAAACGATAGAATATTGCTTTCATTGAGAAACAATTCATAAATAAGAATTACAACTGGACATCTTTCTAATGCAACTGTATAGAGTATACTACATAAAATACAGTTCCATTTAAAAGAATTTATTAGCTATTGAGTCGCAAATTATACAATGGAAAATTCATCCTCATATTTATTTATAGGGTACAGTTAAACCATTAATATACTCAAGATTCGTCTTGTCTAAAAACAGCAAAAAGCTAGCAACTTTTAGTCAACAGGTCATTTGGTATTCTCTCCGTGGTTTAGAGATTCATAGGGAGTTGTTCAGCTCTCATATAACTGCCCACATTGTTGTCCGCCCTCATTTATTATTAAAGCCGGACGGTGCCGAACGATGCTAGATACGTTTGAAACGTTTCTAGATTTCCATTGCAGGCAACCACAGGGAATTTCATCTTTCATCCTCTCCCATGTCACGTCTTTGAAAATTTTTCTAAATTTTTTGTTTATTTAATTTAGAGAAAGCACTATATACTCAAAAAGTGATTGGACGGACGTTGTTATTAAGATAAACATAATGTAATTACAATTTTTTAAAGATATTACTTTACTCGTTTTTTTTTATGGTGCACATAAAGTCCCAATTAAAGAATTAGTAGAGCACAATCACAACCAACTCGATATTTCCGTAAAGATTTCAATACTTTCACAGACGAACAAAGAAATTTGAAGTGATCAGTGTTTTGTCGAAACTGCCAGGCGCGGATCGCGATTTCGATCTTGTTGGATCTCATCAGCGCGTCACAGACAGTTTCGACAGAACACAGACCAACTCTACCTGCTGCCTTAAGACAACGCGTTTTATGAAATCTTACAAATGGCGCGGTAAGCGCCATCTGTAGTACAATGCTACATTTAGGGGAATTCCGTTATGCTCAACAAGGTCAATTTAAATAGATGGATGATGGATATCTACTACTTGCTGAACTGAATCCACAGCGTAGCTCACCACTACAAGATTTTTAACAATTTGTTTATCATCAGTAATGTTGATAGACAGAGTTTCGCGTGGAATGCTCACTCCAAGAATTTATCAGTGAGTAGGGGATTTAATAATACCTAAGATGAGTCTTCTTTTTTTGGCTTGTATTTTCCTTTGTTCCAGTCTTCATTTTCTACTATATAACTAACCTATAAATAATAGTGTTTGACAAGGGCCTTACGAATTATTTAATTGATTATGCGTTCCTATCACTGCGTTGCAAATTCAATAGTTATGTCTATAAGGACTCTTACACAGTTTCAGATTTGTGTATTAAAATATATTTTTTTAAATTGCAAGATTTTATGTAAACAGAAACATGTATGAAGTTTCCTTTCACCTTTTTCTTGGCTTCAGATGGGTTGTTTAGCAAATTATAAGATCTTTAATTTTCATAGACAGAAAAGGCATGGGCATAGGGAGAAGACCTGCCATAAGGAGTGATTACTCCCCATTTGGCAAACTAAGCCACGTTCAATTTACTATGTAAGAGAGACTCTCAAGAAAAAAATTTTTTACTTATTCCAGCCAAAATGCTTTCAAATTACTTGAAGCGGATAGCACTTAATAGCACAGATCCACAGTACGTTGTTGGACTAAAATCCCGAGGGTTGTTAGACTAAACCTTTGAGTTGTCTCCCACGTGAACCCCTCCCTTACCCACGTTTGTGGAGCTTTCGAGAAATTCGCCACCTGGGCTCAAACTGTGTCAGCATCTTTACTCATTGACCATTTGAAGGTGATTCGCAAATTGTACAAATAAATCAGGTGGGTAACTTAATATTAAGTAAATATTACTGCGACGACTTTTTTAGTGCACTACAGAAAATGCTACATGAAAAAACAATGCAAAATATAGTAATTAACAAAGTTATTACTTACCAAACTATACCTTGAGCACCTGATCCAATTGGTTTCAAGTTTTGGTACCTTTTCAAAATGGTAAACTTTGTATCTCCCACCTCCACGGTGTAAAATTGATGAGAAAGCCGGGACATCTTAATGTTTCTGTCCCGAAAGAGCACTACTGTTGTCTGAAACAAAAGAAAAGACTCATCACTTTTGTATAGCTATCTATATAAAAACGAAAACGAAACTTTCCCGTCAGTGGGGGTACCATGAACGCAAGGGTGTCTTAAGGGTTAAGTGATGCAGCATAGTAAATATTAGGAAGGGAGTTAAACAAGGATGTACATTTTCACCGCTACTTTTTAATTTTGATATGTGTTCAGAGTCAAGGCCGTTCCTTTTTGATGCAGGCCATAAAGTGCCTGCATGCAGTTTTTAGAATACTTTGCAAATTTACAAGGCGGTATGGTGTTTATTTGGTAGTAGACCCTTAGATGCATCGGTACAACGTTTAAATTAGTTTATAGAGATAACGGTTGAAGAAGGATCCTTTACGATCCCAATTTAGTTTCAATTTTATTATAGGGTGTTTTTTTATGAGCCTAACGGTTAAAAGTACCGTTTGTTGATTTCTTGATGTGCCGATCTTTTCTCAGATTGTAAACTTCCCTCTTTCCAAAATTTAAGTTGAAAGCCCGCCTTCTAAATTTGCACCAAATTGGTTTGAAAGGGTTAATCACCAATGGTAGTACTAGCCACACCCTTGGTGTTTTCCTCCTAGTTTTAATGTAGATATAAGATGTGACCAAGGACTTCAAAAGAAGCACTTGAACTAAGTCAGCACAAAATGCAAGGGACACTTGTATAGTTAATCTTACTAATAATCGATGGAGATACTCTGTACATATTGTAAATACATAATTAAGTTGACTTCGCTGCAAGAGTTATATTTTTTTCTACCTTCCACCAAAGAATTAAACAACACGCCTTATTAATTTAACGCGTGTGCTGATATTCCACTTACAATAGTAATATCTGCCTGTGAAATTTAACAATATGATACGATTAATAATATTAAAGGCAGGAATATGCTTAGATTTCCGGATGATATAGCAGTATTAGCAACTAACGAAGAAGAGTTAGCTATAGCTTTAAATCAAATGGAAGTGGTATTGACTGAAGAGTATAGTATGAAAATTAATAGTAAAAAAAAAACAAAAAATTGCTATGTAAGAAATGCTAACGTAGAGTAAGAACTAACAGCGAGGAAGGAAAAGTAGATGAAGTCGTTGATTTTCGATACTTAGAAAGTCAAACAATCCAGATAGAATAAGCGCTAGAGAAACAGAGAATACCACTGGGTCGAAAAAGAAAAAGTTAGAAGCGTCTGAGGAGGTTGTTAAAAATATCGCGGATTGAAAAGGTAAGCAATCTGAAGGTAATATTAGAAAGAGAAGGAGAATGGTGGGCGTTATGGAAGGCAATAAGGAATAGGCGAGACAGGTAAGGTGGTAGGACATCTTCACAAACATGACGGGCTAGTTATAAGTATATTAGAAGCAGAAACAAGAGTTAAGAGGGTTTAAAGTAGAATACTGTTCGCAAACAGTTCGAGATATTTGGTTTTCTAGAAATGTGACGACTGCCTGAAGATATTAGAAGAAGTGGAGGTCAGAGGCGGCTCTAGCCCAAGTAGCGCCCGTGTGAAATTAATACTCTGGTGCCCTCTAGTAGGCGCGCGGTCAAAATGGATATTTTAAAGTTATATCATAGTAAAATAAAATTATATAAGTAGGATAGACGATAGCCGTTGGGGCGGAAAGGTGCTCGAGTGTTAACCACGTGCCGGAAGACGCAGTGTGGGTAGGCCCCCCACAAGATAAACCGATTATCTGATCAGGGTCGCGGGAAGCCGCTAGATGCGGGCAGCGCAAGATCGGTCGTTATGGGGGAGGCCTATGTCCAGCAATGACGTCTTTCAGCTGATATGATTGTAATAATGATGATGATGAAAGTCTGAAACACCAGTAGGTTCTTAGAAATGTACGACCTATCAAAAGCCCCCACTCTTGCGTTCTAAGAAATTTAAATGGACAACTACTTTCTTCCAACCTATACCTCGAAAAAAGAGACTAGGGGAATTGTAAGTAGAAGTGTGGGAGACGAAATTGGACACCGAGAAAAGGATTAGGAGAAATATAAAATAACTATCCAGAGTCTATTGTAGCTCATAGCCAATACTTACCTTTAATATCATTTTAATCAAAACAAAAGTCGATTCAAACGAATCAAAACAGGTGTCGGCACGCCTCTTTGGTACTGATGCGACACTACGCCAATATAATCTTTAATTATCTGTTTAAAGGCTGAATTCACGTTGAAACAAAAGTTATCGTGTGGAGGGTGGAAAAATATGACTAAATTGTTTATATTTTTTAAAGGAACCGCTTATGGTGCGCCTTGCTTTGCTACCGCCGCCACCTTACGTCGGCCTTAACACGGGTGCAAGGCCTTTGAGAGGGCCGACGCCGCGAGCGACTCAAGCTCATTGGTGGTGTCGCGAGCGCCCGTGTACTATAGGTAAAGCCGCCTCTGGTGGAGGTGCGTGTCCAACCAGTCTTTGGGCTGAAGATCTTATGACCTTACCTATTAATAAAAATTCTTTTCTCTTCACAGACACTTCATCAGCTCTCTATCAAAATGTGGCGAATACAAAAAAAACGTACAATTTTGTATATATATTTTTTTGTATATTAATGTTTCATATTTTTGTACATGTGTAAATATTGTAAACCTTTCGCTTCTTATCTTGTGCATGCCTTTGTTTCTTTTCAAACTTAATTCTATTGTTCCGCTATCGCTATCTTTACCTAGAATTTCATCGTCTTCGATACCTATTTAACAACCCTTATTAATAGCTGGCTTTCCCTCGCTTACTTTTTCTTCGAATTCTATTCTATTCAATTTCAACTAGTCTGTACATGTTCTGTTAATACTTTTCCTTCTAGAATGTTCTCCCTCTATTTACTAACAATCCTGTTGTATAAATACCCTTCAAATTTCCTACTTATTAACCAGTGTTCAGTAACCAGTAACCAGTCTACCTCTTGATAATTCGTAAGTGTTTTATATTGTTATTATTTGTTGTTGTTCTTATGTTGTTTTTGAGTGTTGTTCAGTCTTATTAAACTTTTGTATATATTCTTCTTTTGTGTTGTGTTTTGTTTTGTGTTACGTTCCTTTTGGTACAAAAATTATTAGTGCTTTTATTAAAGGCGCTAAAAAAATATACACATTTCATGTTTTTGTGCCCATCATCTCTTAGGAAAGAGAAAAGTAAAAAATCTGATGAATATACAATGCATCCAGAATGTAAACACACAATGCAGACATTACAATGATTACTACCACAGCCGTCTCTAATACAAGCCATGCTGAGAAATTTGGCAACAGCGCATTGCTTCGATGTGAGAGTCCTATTCTGCGAGTCTTAGTTGTTATTACTACACGTCGTTACACATGATTTTTAGACACCCATAACGATAAAAATGAATTGAATTATTAAATAACTAACATTTGTTCATCACTGATAGTATGTGACGTTATTTAAAATACACTTCAACATGTAGGTATTAAGAACAAAATAGAAAAGACAAAAGATTAGGTGTAAACATTGTTAGGTACCTACATGAATTTCATCTCGATAATTGTAATTTTATTAAAGCAAATTTCCACACCACAATTGAAGTACTGCCAAGGGGCGTTAGCTTTTTTTGGGGTTCGCCAATAGCCCTGCCATCCCATTAGAAAAAACTAATTATAATTTCTAATTTACAGATTTTTGCTGTCTTACATTTAGCTGAATTAGAATTGGAGTGGCAGGACTCTTGCTTTCTATAATTTATAATTTTAACGTAATCATTAAGCAAAACATTAGCAAAAGAAGATAAAATTTGGAAGAATATATCTTTATAGTGTTTTCCAAAACTAAATATTTTTGAAAATAGTTAATTTTCCTAAAATTGGTTTTTGGTGTTCAGCCCGTAAACATTGTGTCTGCAGATTTTCGTTATTACTTATTTCTTCAAGAATGGCATAAATGTGAAAAAAAAAAACTATACTAATATTATCAGTAGGAACAGAAAGTCCTCCCCTTTGTAAATAATCAAAATAAATATCTCCAACGCAAGAGCCTTTATTGTTTATTATGAGCGAAACACAATTGTTGCAAGTTATCTTTTTACGAGCAGAATGAACTGCATATCCTGAAATGGAAATTTTTAAGGAGTCATCTAAATCACAATTCATTAAAAAATCGGAATTTAAAATTTCAATAAACTGACTTATGTTTAAGGGAGACTCTTCAACAATTTAAATTCCTGTTTCATTATTCTCTGGTAATTTAGGATATGCTAAAAGCACACTCAAAACATTACCGGCAGTGGATACTTTTTTTTACTGTTTTTATAATGTCACTTTCGTTAAAGTGATGTATGTAAACTCCAGAATATTTTCATGGAGTCCAATCTTTGCGAGGTATAGTACTTATGCATTTTTTTCGCATTTCATCATTTTTTTGGGAATAAAAATATAGGCATACTTGTACTTACATTTTAAAGACGATTTATAATTTGAATTGCAACTGGGAACACAACGACGAGAGGCATTTTGTTAAGAAATAAACAAGAAAATGTACAACTAAAACACACAATCTGACCTAAAACATTTTCACTTCTTTCACATAATAGTTCTGCAATTAAAAACTGCATCCAAAGGTATTAATCTCTATAACACACTATAATCATCCTTATTGCACATTTACTGCACGATATTACCGCTAAAATTAAAATATTATAGAACAACGAAAAAAACACAACAACCATTGTATTAGTTGTAACTCTCATTAACTGGGAAATCCTGGGACTCCCACAGTGTTGCCAAGTAAACCTTCAGCATGGCTAGTAAGTAGAGACGGCTGTGTTACTACATATTACTCTATGGTTCTTTATATCTTTACATCCTTACGAGGTTTTCCCATTAGGAAAAAAGTTGATTATCAGTAATTGGTTTCTGTAATTGATATTGTTATTACATTGTTTTCATATAATGAAAGAGTTTTGCACGACACAATAACAAAAAAAATCAAACGCGTGTAGTGTACTGTCTTTTTTCACTATTTACAGTA